CAGTGAAAGCTGGATTTGAAAACACAGGCTAGCCCTCCACCCTTGCCGGTGGTCCGAGGGGAGCTGAGAAATGTACAGTCAGGAGGGAGAAGTTCTGAAAACGGTATGGACTCACCAGTATGCAGCCAGGTTTCCGTCACGAACATAAAATCCAACTTACGGGAGGTGAAAAAGTCATTCAGCAAGAAGGTCTTGTTAGCTAGGGATGTAGCATTGATCAAGGCCATCCTCAAGGTAACGTTAGGAGTCATGCTGGTCGAGGCACGTCTTAGCGGCCGAAGGTTTGTGTGGACAACGTTGCCTCTGGGCACACGCAGCTGCCCAGGAAGAGACACCGACATCAGGCCACACTGGGCAGGGGCTGCCAACGATCCATGGGTGACAGCGAGCGGAACCGGCGTTGTCGTCCGGCCTGCAGAAGCAGAGCTCAATGGCGAAGTAGCAGGAGCAGCATCCATCGGTGTGCCAGACAGCATCGTCAGGCCAGGAACAGCAGCAGCGGGAGGGCTGGGAATGACAATCCGTAACCACGGTCCTCTGAGCTGTATTGAGCGTCTGACGGCAGAAGAGTAGCAAAATCCACCACGAAGGAGGCGAGGATCAGCCACACAGGACAGCGACAGATAGGCCTTGACTTTCACCAATACACCACCGCACTTACCCCGTCTTCTCAGACGTTTTTTGAGGGGAGGGGCGCAAGGTGAGCAGCGCAGGTAAGATGGAATATCTGCCAGCAAAGGAGGGAGGCTTGCAGTCTGGTCTCCCAATTCATGCTTTAACAGCGTTAGCAACAAGTCAGAGACTCGAATGTTGAGAAGAGCTTGGAGATCATAAGCAAATAGAGCCGAGACATCCCAGCAGCAGACACATAGGAACAGAGCAATAACAAACAATAAACTGAGTAGACGCGACTGACGGCCTGCCAAACATACTGGCGCCATCTTGGATCTCATGAGCTTTAGGTAGTGACTGAAACTATGACAAAAGAGAGCAAGATGTACTTAAAATATATTTTAAACACTCTGATATAACATGTAGTACTTAAATAGAAGTTTAACAGTCACTTTTTGTAATTCAGTCATTTCTAGTCAGCATTTGTTTGCACATGCTTATCAAGCGAATTTAAGTTCAATTCATCAGCGCATTGCTTTTAGATTCTCTGTTTCCCTACCTCAAATTGCCAAACATAAATTTACAGTCAGTTTGTACTTACTCAGTGAAATAGGTGTGCGACATTCTGCACAGCGGTAGTCTTGCCGGTCTAGTCCTATCTCAGGGCAGATGCTGAGCTCGTACTCCGACTGGTGGCTGACCTTTGACCTGACGCAGGGCTTGGTAATCAGGTTCATACACTTACTATGGCAACGATAATAGCAACCTGAAACAAGAGAGGCGTGATCAGACGGCATGCAACTGCATTACCACTATACCTGATGGTAGGGATGCACAATTCCACTGCAGAAGAGGCTTAATGATTACTAAAATTAGGTGGGAAAAAAGTGTATATATGGATAATGGTATCGGTTATCGGCCTAATAAGTTGTTACATATTGGCATATCGGATATCAGCAAAAAATCCAGTATCGTGCACCCCTACCCAATGGGTCTGGTAGGAATGGCTGGTTAATGAATTCAAATAGCTGTACAAAAACACTCCCACTGATTCCACCTTTCATTAAATAAATTAAAAAATAGAAACCTTACAATATGAAATGAAAATCTAAAATATTTTAAGTTTCTGTGTGTGGCATTAGAGCATTACCACAGCAGTGTAGCACCCAACCCCCCATCCCATCTTGGTTAACACCATTAGCTCTGTCTGCACTGTTGCTGTTGTTACGAGCTGTTTATGGAGTTAGCACCATGAGCTGCTAGCCATCAGCTCAGTCACCTTCATGATGAGAACGATGTTGAGGCGACTCATATACTCTGAATTTCGCAAATAGCCCCATACAGTATAAGAATTCCTGTTCTACTAGCTATTGTATTATGAGATCAGTCAGTTAAAATTATTTGCCCCATCTCTGCAGCACATTTTGAAGTGACTGCGTGCACAAGAGAACAAATGAGACACTGAGCCTGGCAATGAATCTTTGAGGAAGCACCACATTGTAAGTCTGTGCATGAAGCTTTGACAGATTAAAAAAGGGTATTCGGATGGAGCTTGTATGATCTTGCATGGAGTTCTGAATGATCTGTGTGCCCTTAAAACATGCTATTCTGTGCTATATCATATTGTACACTGTGTCTCACCTGTGCAGGTATACCAAGTTTGAATAAGGCCCCAGATAATAGTGCTACATTTGTCACAGGTCTGTTTCACACTCTTGCTCTTTTCCTTGGAGAAGCGGTGCTCCAGCAGGACTCTCAGATTAGGCTCATCTTCCTCGGGGTCCTTTTAAGAAACAAGTGGAAAAACAAAATTTACCACAACCGTTAAGATCGCAGTAACATAGTTCATGTGTGGTTTTAAAAGACAATTACAATTACTACAAAATATGTGAGACATCATTCAACAAGTGCAGCCTATTTCAGAACAGGAAAAAGTTACTTTAATGCTGTAATATCTTTAGTAAGTTTACAGTAATCAGCCCAAAACATTACCAGCATGTCACCTGGACAGTTTTCTCAATGATACCAGAGGTTTTGTAAAGATGAAATAAATGAGTCAATAAGGTTTGGGAAGGTGCTCCTGAAGAAGAATCTCTCTGTGGTAGGGCTGTGCAGTTCATCTAAACTTTACTGAAATTGCAACATGACCAAATGCAACTTCCAGTTCACAGGAGTTGCAATTTCCTGATAAAGGTAAACTGCTTTACAACATACCATTATAAATGAAACACTGTGGTTTACCTTTCCCACTTAAATTGCGATTCATATCACAATATCTGTCCAAATAATCGCAATAAGATTCTTTTTTGCATATCATGCAGCTCTTCGCCAAGAAGCCACAAAAATGCTCAGGCTGGGCCTGGCCATTAGAAATATAAATACACAAAAAACACCACTTCGAGGCGTCGGTAGCATAGTGAATAGTGCCGGCGCCCCATGTACAGAGGCGATGCCTTGCTGCAGCGGTCGTAGTTTCGACTTTATTTGCTGCATGTCACCCCCTCGCTCTCTCTCTCACCCCATTTCACTCCATCCTGTTCATTAAAGGCAAAAGCCCAAAAACATAAAAACAAAAAAAACACCACTTCAACATGACACAGAGTATCATTAGCATTCTCTATAAAATGCATCCAAATCCTAACTGGACTAGTAACTGACTGATTAAATGATTTGTTTATTTGAGTGGTCTACACTAGATTGTACGCAGGCTAATACTGTGCCTTCAGTGACTAGAAAAAACACAAGAAACTGTGCCATTTGAAATGCAGAGTTATTGCAGGAAGTTGCTGCTTATAACCAACCTGTTTATCACCTTCTTAGACTCCAAGAATGCCTGCAGTGCTTGTTTTCATTTATTTCGTACAGGGCAATGGCTAAAAGGCCAAAAGTGACCCCGTGAAAACAAAAGAAAGCCTTTACTTAAAATGTGCCCCGAAGGATTTCTTTTGAGCTTCTCAGCTGATACTGATCCCCACCCACTAGCAACACTTCTCAGCTACATGCCAACTACTATATAAATTCCTTATTTTCCAAATGCACATACTTGCAAGATCATACCTAAGTAATAAATTTCTATCAGCTAACATTTTGTGTACAGCTGTGCAGTCCTTCTGAACTAGCATCAGCTATTACAATATCATGTTATCTACTTCTCCATTTACTCCTACATAGCCACAGATGATGGCATAGATTCAACACAGAATTATAAACTTTTAGTTCCAACCTTAAGTTCCTGTAGTTTGAGACGAAGGTGGATTAGTTTCACCACAGTGTCCTTCTGTCGCTCCGAGTGTTCAGGCAGCTCCAAGATCAGCTTTTTACACTCCTCTATAGCCAGCTTAAGCTGTTCGATGTCCGACGCCACGAACGAACCCTGAAATAGCGAAAGCATGTGCAGTAAATACAATAGGTAGCTCTTTATAGCACTCTATGTTTTCAGTTTGGGAATAATGCTTTGCTTACCATTGGCCTCGAGAAGTGGTCTTCAGCTAGACCGAGGTCCATGGTTCGGTCTGAACTGTGTGTTCTGGATCCAGAGAACAGCTCAGGCCTTGCTTCTAAAAAGAAGGGAAAGTGGCATAAAGCACTATTCTTCTCCTGAGTACACACACACACACTACGGTCTGGTAAGACTCTCTCAGTCATGCATGCTAATTTCGCACACATGACTGTGGACGCTACTCAAGACAAGTCCTATACTCTGACTCACCACTCAGGAAGTCCAGAGGACAAACAAAAGCTCAACATGGACAACTGAAGGAATCCCACCTATAGTAGTTGTCTTATCAGTTCAGGTAATGTGTAACCTAATCAGGTGACAACCAGGTGAGACTCCCACTGTGTCATTAAAACTCCTGCTAAACTAGCTGAATGAACTTTAAAGTGATCATGTTTGCATCTACATGTTTACAATCCATCTGTTACAGAAAGATTCACGTGGTATGTTTTCAAATCAATTAAATCACAGTGCTAACATTTTTCTACTACTGCTGCTATCAGTGGTATGACTATATGTGTGTTTATGTGCAATTGTTCACTGTAAGATTAAGAATTAATACTTCCAGAATCTGAAAATTCAGAGTTTTTAGGAGATGAAAGGAGTGATTATTAAATAGGGCTGACCTCATGCTTTCTGATGTATATGACCACAATAGCTGCCTAGAGCTGCAATAACACATTTTAGCTTTTGGCCACTTGGGGACAGCAGAACAAGCTGTTACACAGCATTGAACTTATCACCTTGTAAAGTTGTTCACAAACAGTTCACAATTTACACATCCAGCAGATACAGAGCAACATTTGTATTCATTTGGAGACATGCTTTATCCGCCAGTCGAGGTCTTAAAATTTATTCTCTTTGCTATGTTTTGGTCTTTATCAGCTCCTAAAAAAGACATCTGACTCTTGAGCTGCTTAATGCTGCACTATAATGAGCAGCTCATCACTACCATTGTCTATGCTGTTTGTTGGCAGAGCCATGAATTTATTACTCACTGTAAAAAATAGTGATGAGTGCAATTTAAGCAGAATGTGGAATAAAAGGCTCAATTTAGCTTTTTATTTTAACTTAGCCCTAGTGTTAGACTGAAGAAAAATTCTAGTAACACATTCCCAAACACAAACTTTTGTCAGCCTTATTTTTTAAAATTAATTTGCATGTACATTTTTTGAGGTTGTCTTTGTCTACGTGACAATATTAAAAAGGGAAAAAAGGAGACAATAACATTGTACAATGTACAGCACATGTTGAACCCAAGTGTGTCTGCCAAATGAAATCTGTGCAAAACTGACACTCTGATCATACCTACATGGTATTAGTGACTACTGAAATTACTCAGAATGATGACTGACATTTTGACTTTAAACATTAAAAACAAGCAAAAATCACTATATCGATTATCACATATTTTAACAAACTTACTCTCCATCTTACTAAATAAGTGCGGACAAAGGCTGTTGTTACCTGCATACACCTCAGAACAAAACATGTTGGGTGAATTCAGCTTCTCAGTGCCGGACAGAGAGAGGACAATGAAGCAGAGAAACACAGATTACACAGCTCAGTGTGTCAGACTTGTCTGTCAAAATGATTGTAATCAAACAAAGACGTCTTTCACTCCCAAATCCTAAAATAGAGGAAGTTTTACTAAAATACTGCTTACACTTACGCTTTTCATTTCCTCCTATTGTATATCTAACTTCCTTTTCCATAAGCTAAGAGTAAGTCCAGTGTGCTTATGCTTGATGTGTTAGGATCTGTTCTGTTGGATCTGTAAATATTTGAGGGAAATAATCTGTCAGATCAGTCTCAGGAGGGAATCACTGCTGCATACAGTGAGTGAGGCATACTGACACGATCTAAGCAAATAGTAGACTCACTGTATTTGGCACTGTAAGGAGAGCAAGTTTGCGTTTGCAAGTGAGTGACATTTAGAAATGCAGAAACCATGTTCTCAGAACACACCACAGACAGACCACAGACAGAGCACATTTGTTGTATTACACAACAATGGCAAGTAAGAAACAAAGTTTAATGGCTGCTTGTCACAGTTCACCAGACTAGACATCTTTTCAGAAGAAAACAACCATTCAAACGACAGCTGGATGTCCTGCCAAAACAAAAAAAAGACAGACACAATTTCTGGCCTAAGTATAAATTTGCGTCATCAATTGCGTCATTGATTTCTTAACCTGATAATTTTAAAGGCCGCACCTTTTCATGTAAGCACATGATTTCTGGGATTGTCCCTAGTGCATCAGGAAGTGACACAGGAGTGAAACCAGAGTTGTCTTGTGCTTGAGTCCTAATCCATGTATATTGGCAGCTCCCTACAGTGAAATGTAGCATATGACATATAAAGTCCAGCTGCAGTCTTAACTAATAAAGTGCTTTTTCTTCATGAGGTCTTGGAGATCACCTGATAGAATAAATCAACCCATAAGTTGCAATGGAGTGCAGTATTAGCTGCTGTCAGTCACCAGAGTAAATGTTGTTTTTATTTTTCCACGTAGATCAAAGTAGCATTGGCAATGCTGGGCGACAATCACCAAAACTGTCCAATGTGTGATATCAGGTTTCCGCCTCTTGGTTCAACAAAAATAAGTTAGAGTGTACATCAAATAGACTTGAGCCTAAAGCAAATATTATTCCCCTGAACTGAGCCACAGGTGTGAAAATGACCTTAATGTGAGGTCATACTCTGACATTGACACAGCTGTGTAATGGTTAGCCTGTGAGGAGCTTTACCATGCAGTGGGGGCGTCTTGCCTCCTTGCGGGCCATCTTCTTCCTCTCGACGATCGAAGGGATTGAGGCGTGTTTGGCGGAAAAGTGCAAGTCTCTCATCATACTCCATTTCATCGGCTACATCTAAAGAAGAGATAAGAAACTCAAGACCACATTACAATCTAACAGGAAGCTCGACCATGGCTGTCATCATCAGGGTAACCTCAGACTTTACAAAGCCACATCAGAGCCACAGAAGAGCATACAGTATACACGTTTTCACAGGCTGAGTGGAACATATGAATTGATTTCTTTTTTTTGCCAAGAATGCTCAAATTGAACTGATATATTGATGTGTCAGCAAGAAACTGGTCCACATCTCTTTTAAAAACATGGACTGCTTTCTTAATGTGCTATTAAAGCCACATGACAAACATCAGAAACCTCAAAATACAATTAAATACATCTCCTTCAACTTTTTCCTGTTCCTGTTTCCCTGCTTCTTGTTCACAAAAGGCTGTGCTGTATAACATATAAAATATAGTATGCTAGAGGATCAATTAAAAATGTCATAAAAAAACAAAACCACAGCACTGCTATTAAAATCCATGTGCTCTATTTACACAGACAATAACAACACTGTCACTTAGCAGGCTGTGAAGCAGTGTACCAGGAAGTCATTTATAAATGATGGTAAAAAATACAGCCATGTAATTCACTATGTATAACTCCTTTATGTTATACACTGAACTCAGTACATGGGTCAAACAAGAAAGCACTGCAAAGCCTGAGTAACGTTACACGCACAGCCTGAAGCCTCACCTCACCGACTGTAACCAATCAGGGCTTTTGTTGACAGTCCTCCCCAATAAAGTGCTAATATTATTTCGAGTATTGCTACTAAACATGTAGGATACTGAAAGTAATAATTCACAGCTATGCAACGAATATAAAAAGAGCACATTAACAGCATTGTACAAATGTTGACAGACAGCTAACGGCAGCTAGCTAACTAGCTTTAAAAGCAAAACAACCATCTGCTTTGATGCTAATGTCGGTTAATTTAACGTGTCGGTCAGGGCAGAGACTTACCCCGTTGTCGACCTCATTTATCATTAAGGACTCGACAGCTGTAAAATATATGTTATGGTCGACGCTTTTGATTAAAATAAAGAGTTCTCTCTGTGTTGTTTTGCCACCAGCAACATCACATCACAAGGCGAAGAAAACGTCAAGTCATCCATTGTTGTAATCGTCTATTTCCGGGTTGTCTTTTCAAAATAAAACCCTTCATATTTACCATGCAGTAGCTTTATGTGATTAATACAAGGAAAGTTAGAATAACTTTGTTGAATTATCTGTATTTAATCAAACAGTTAATTAAAGACACAATATTTTGCGTCTTGTACATATGTGGCACACTAAACAACGTTGTCTCATATTGAAGTAATGTATGATGCTTTTACTTTGAAGTTAGACCTCTTTCCTTCCTTTCTTCCCATAAAATGTTAGGTACCTTCCAGATAACTTCCATAAAGATGAAAAAGCATCACCATCAAAGTGTGTGATGGTGGGCTTTTCTTTCCTTCACATGCATTACAGCTATAGACCTCAGAACATCAGATGATGCTGATTGAATTAGAGATTGCACTGATGACAAAAATGGAAATTTCACGTTATACTGCAGGGGTATTCAGAAGTTGTTACTGTATCAGTAATCTGTCGGAGAATAGATTATTTTCTGAGCCGTTTGTCTAACAAATGTGATGAATATAGGTTTCTACAAATGCCCTCAGTGTTGCAAATTAAGTGGCTTTTTAAAATGGGAGAGAAGCATTAGGTCCAAGGGTTAAGCTGTTTCATGCTTAGGCAGGACCAAAACTGGGTTGGCACTGATTGGCTTCAATATGAAAACATAACCACATAAAGGGAAATAGGATAACTGTATTATTACAAGAATGATCAAATTGCTATGGTAGATTACTATATTTTAAGCCACTTCAAGCACCACAAACCATATTCTGTTCCTCTCATTCTCAGACTCTTTGACGTGATAGTAGAATGTGATTAAACAGAAAGAAAGAAAGAAAGGATCTCCTTAGTAAATAACAGTGCAATCTGATTGCTCAGTTGCATCAGTAAGGCTGATGTCCCTGACCTAGACCATTTCTAAGATAGAAAACATCAATACATATCAGCGCAATACAGCAAATACAGTATGTTTCACATAAATCCTATACATTACACCAGTTTGTCATATTGTCTGCCATGCTGTGTCTCTTTCAGTGCCTGGTAGATGTAGGCTACACTGAAGGGCGTGCGCAAAGTCACAGCTTATGTGAACTACAACAAGACAGACCTGTGCTGTAAATAGCTTCATCATCTCTCCTATAACACAATGTTTTGTTAATGAAAATATGTCTTGAAACTTATGCAACATTGCAGTGGAAAAACAACCTTCAAAACCTGATCAATCAATGTGGTGAACACAGGATCAGTGTAAAGCCAAGCAACTGTAGAAAAATCTCATATAAATAGTGAGGATTATTTTTTTAAAAGGCAAAAACAAACAAACCAATGATGTTGTCATCTGTAAAAGTCATCTGAAAAAAGATGGCAGCAGCCTTTTCCAAATCTGCAGTATACAAAAACAGCCGCTACTCATGGTGCCTTTCATAGGGTCCGGGCCTATTGTAATCCTAGGTCTTCTTCTTCTTCTTCTTCTTCTTCTTCTTCTTCTTCTTCTTCTTCTCAATACTGAAGAAACTTTTGTAAACTTAAAACTATTAAAAAATTATGAAGTTCATCACTCTGTTTTTTTTTCAAAAACTGTAAAACTTTTAATTTTTGCTCAATTGACACCAAATTTGCTACAGAGCATCTTCAGACTGTCCTACAAAAACTATGTTTCTCAGATTTTTGATTTATCAAAAATTGAGCCTACAGTGCATCAAAATGTTTGACTGTAAACAGTACTAATCTTCGATGTTCATTAAAAAAATGACAAAATTCTAGAGTCATGGTAGATGATGTGTGGCAAATTTCAGAATTTTATCTCAAAAACTGAATTTTTGACAGCATTTTGAATTTTGCTCTAATGTGAACAATTGGAGTCAATTTAAAAATGGACATTTTAAACATCAGTTTTTCACTTATGGAGCAAATCAATCATTGTTACAAACAAATGACCAACATCTCCATGCTGTCTAGATGCAATATGTGTATTTTCAGACTTTTGTTTTAATAACTGATTTTTTTTTACAGTAGTTTCAAATCTGCCTTTCCATGCACAGATGGCTGCTTTCCTACACAACAGTGAATGACTTACTCAGTTTGTGAAGCAACTGTTGAGTTGCTAATTAGCTCAGAGTGGTAGATGACCGTCTTAGGTTCCAGAGGTTGCGGATTCAAGCCTCAACTAGTGCAAAATCCACATTGTAATATAAACATCTTCTTGTGCTCCAGATAATTGCTTAAAATTACCTGAGAGTGACTGATCACTGTGCAGCATCTTCAAGTCTTTTTTCTGCTAGAAAATCTGCCTTCTCATGCTTGAAAATAAACCAAATTTTGCACAAAGATCCAGTGTCAATACTTCAGTGTGAAACCATCTGAGGCTTCTCACTTTGCACATAGCTCAACTAGTTAAACATCAGTTTTTCACTTATGAAGCAAATCAATCATTGTTAAAATAAATTACTAACATCTCCATGCTGTCTAGATGCAATATGTGTATTTTCAGATTTTTGTTTCAATAACTGAATTTTTTACAGTGGTTTGAAATCTGCTTTTCCATGCATGGACGGCTGCTAAACCTGCATGTCTGGCTTAGTCAGTTTGTGAAGCTACACAATAATTGTCACTGACTAATTAGCTCAGTGAGCTAGAAATTGATTCTTAGTCTCAGAGGTTGTGAGTTCAAGCCTCAGCTGAATCAAAAGACAGATTGTGTTGCTAAATTCCTAAATGTCTTCCAATTCTTCTGCTTGTTGCTAAAAATGTCCTGGACCCAACCCATCGCTGCGCAGCAGATATAATTTTATTTATCTATTTTTAATTTCAGTATTTTTCAGTTAGTTGTCAGGGTAAAGTTACTGTATATGGGCTTTGTGTGCGTGTGTGTGGGTTCAGGGGTTAATTAAAGTAAATATAGTATATAGTTGACCACATCGTAATTCTATTCATCCCCAAAGGGCAGAGACATGCCTTTTGGTCATGTGGATAATTCTGAATCATCACTGCTTGAGGTGGAGATTCTTCTCTGCTGTAAACAGAGCTGCTTTGTGCGGTAACATAAAGTCACAACCCTACTGTAAACATGCTGCTCTGTGCAGATAATACAGTCACTATTCGGTCATCCTGCAGGCAAATCAGCAATAGCCTAATTACAGTCAAGTGGCCTATTTATGTCTGTTTCCTCATGTTACTTATTCATGAAATAAAATGTAATTTAATTTGAATTATCTATTTATTTATTCTATTATTTAATTCAGTAACAATGAGAATGTTTGCAAATTATGTCAATATGACTGTAGTCCATGGAACATACAACAAATACCTGATTCTGAAGGTTGCTGAACATTTTTATGATAGCATCACCAGTTTGAGCAAACTGGCGTAGGTTATTGTCAGAGAGTGATCGCACTGACTGAGAGTGTCCATCATGTTCTTAAGACGAGCATCAAGGCACAAAACATATCTGACTTTGGCTTTAACGTTGTTTAACAGGTAGCCTCTTTCTTTAATAATCACCCAGGGTGTTATCTGATCAATTAGCCACTGGCGAATAATTCTGTGTCATGCCCAGTATGGAGGATCAACCCCGATATATCTTTTTATATAAATTCAATAACTAAAAATAATAAACAAATTACATTAAAAGAAAAATAATATGATGTATTTATTGAACATTTTTAGAAGAATTCCTACATTTACTTGGCATTCTATAAATTGATTTCAAATGCTTATGTAAATTACATCCAAGTTTGGTAAAAAGTGTGGAGTACATGGACTAAATCGTTAACATTTTTTTTATCAGCAAATATTTATTTCCAAACTGTTATTTAAATATATGCAAGCAAGCTAATATAAATAGCATTGTACTCATCGTTTATTTATTTATTATCCCACTTAGAGAGCATGGCTTTCTTAAGTACATGTACACCTATTATTGAAAATATATATTTTTTTAATTTCATCTAACATATCACTTAATGTTGGCCTCTGCTTTTGGAATGAATCTATTGGCTGTTATTTCATGAGATAAGCTGTATTAAATAGTGGTGTTGAGCAGTTTTAGATCATTTTGCTCATCAGTGTGACATAAACTTGGCTGCTTCCTGCCACAAATATGATGTTCCTTGCCCCCCCTCTATTCATGTGCGTTTTAAAAAGAATGAAACTATGCAGTTACAAATAAAAACTTGAATATGACCTGGTTTTGCTTTGAGCCATAGTTTCTTTGTGCTGTAAATGACAAGAACTGGAACACTGTAAAATAAGATGTAGAGACAACTTGTCTTTTTGGTAATGGACTTGTTTGTTTCACTTCAATTTCAGCCATCATATTAAAGTCTCAGAATAAACATGGTAATGATATTTTGAGATGAATACAGAGCATCACTAACACTGAATCCATAAACATTTTTAATCTATCTTTGTTTAGGCTATATGAAACCAGAAGTGTGATCTGACAGACAATCACACAGGTGAAAGGTCCATCAGTTTAACTGTCAAGCCACTCTATCTTTTCATAAAGACCTTCTAAAAACACACTCAAATTAAAAATTATTCACAGTTAGTGAAACTTGTGACCCCAGGAACAAAACCTCAGGCCAGATCTGCACAACTGTAAACACATTGTCAGCGCAACACTTACAAAACACTACACACACTGTTTTGCAAAACACTGGAGACACTTAACTAAATTAGACACAGAAATCTACTATGATGCACTTCTTTGACATTTCAAGGCACTGTTTTTCCAAGTGCCCCAACTATGAACCATTAATCAAACACAGCTATCAGACACTTAGGTAACTGTAAACTCACCATTCAGGTGTAAGCAAAATGCAACAGGTGAGTGAGCCTGTATTCAACAAAAATGGCAGGCAACCTGCTATTTTTTTCATGCATTTTTTATGTTTTTGTCTCCACAATATATGTAGGTATATATATATATATATATATATATATATATATATACAGTACAGGCCAAAAGTTTGGACACACCTTCTCATTCAATGCG